TCTAGGAGAAGGGCCTGAGAAGGGTACTAAATATCTGAAGAAAAGTATAACCTGTTTCGAGTTAACTGATTCTTTATTATCTGATCATTCAGTTGAATAGAATTCACAATTTTGTCTCTTCTTCATTTGTCTTAGACATGTGAAGTGCTAACCTAACCAATGAATGCAACTTATTTTATTAGTTACTATGTTATTGGCTACCACAAATCAAGAAGGGAAAAGACAAGACAAGCCTGCATAATCAGACATTTGAGTTCAGCATTGTGAAAAATCCTCTTACTTCTGTGCTGCACAGCACCACAAACTCATAAAACACTAAAAAATCCAGTATAGCACGCAACAGCTGTACTGCATAATTACTTGGCCCAATAGCAGTAGTTTTAAAATACTGGTATATCTGTTGCAGGCCACCATACATTATCATCTCATTTTCAATAAAAAGTCTGTGATGTTTCAGATGAGCTTCAATGGAATTAGAATCATGTGTGCTTTGAAATATTTATGCTTGCCTTGAGATGGAAGGATAATTCCTGCCTCCAACCCCCACACACAAATAGCAGATTTAATAATGCCAGATAGTCCAGCTCCTCCATACCTACAGCAGGTAGAAATGAAGTTCTGATCTGGAATACACATATTTTCATAGGTTGTAGAACTTATATTTTACGTCATTTAGTGAGGTCAGTAATAAAATATAAATGTCACAGGCTGAAAGACGCCAAGAGAAATATGGTTTGGCATCATAGAGCTGCTTAGGGATACATAAATAATAAGTCAATAAGTAAATAAATAATAGACAAAGACCTGTTTTATCTTCCATTTGAAGATCTCAAAGAATTTACAATCACTGATTGAGACTTGTAATATCCCATCAGAAGCACATAAGTAGTAATAGCCCCTTCTTATACACAGGAAAACTTGCATCAGTCTAGGCATGGTTTTCAGAAGCAATGACTTAATAATTTTTATTAAGCGTTTCTGAAAATCATGACTGAAAGGGCTTTTCCGTGGTCACTTTCCCCTTTTACAGGCAAACAGGGAAAATAGCAACCTGCTCCACTACCTCACGTCCTTTAACTGATTAAAAATGTTTGTGAGGATCCATATATTTGGAAACACAGTTGTGTTCAGAACTTGTTTGAAAGGCCATCTTTGCATACACCAGAGTTGGTGACCACAACACAGCTATCGGAGTAATGGTCTGTATCTGGGCCAGCAGATTTTAGACTTTAGCATTTAATTCCCTCTCTCTAGTATAAGGCAGGCACACTTGTAATTTTGATCAGTTTAATAGTAGTAGATTCTTCCTCTTATCAAACAGCTCTTCCTTTTGCCCCTTGAGAAATTTGGTATTTCCCAGTCAGAGACTGCAAAAACAAACCTTTTGGAGGTCCTTATTCCATTCGTTACTTCTTATGCTAATCTACCTACTCTGATAAAATGAACCCTACATGTTAGTATATGGCACAGGCTGAGGGCTGATGCCTATTGGGCCTTGTTTCCTTTCCCTGGTCTTTCCCGTGATCAGCAGAAAGCCCTTCAAGGCTGTACTGAGGAATTGGCCAAGACTCCCAAGACAAACCACTTTCTCCTTCTTGCAGTACTTTACTTTCCTGAATTATTGTTGATCATTTCTGCATTCATTTTTCTTCTCTCTTGCTTTGGGAAGATCACCAATAAATGCTTTCCAGTTTGTTTTTTACCTTGACATGCTGAGGAGGTCAAGGCAACAAAGGCTCACTACTTACATGCCTATGAGTATTTCTAATAACCATAACATGTCTTTCATATAGCAAATCAAATTATTAAATGAAGAGCCATACCTTGGAAAAGCTAAATACAGTGTGGTCTCAGGCCTAGCTTTGAATTTCCACATGTTCCCTGGGTACAATTTTTTATTCCTTCTTGTTTGATTGAAACAGCATTTCTATCTCCTTATCACCTAGCGGAAGGAAAGGAATTAATTTGTTCCCAGATGTGTACAAAGGACAGTGCAGTTGCATAACAATTTCAAATAGTATTAACAGAGCTTGTGCTAAAATGAAATCTTTTATAAATGTTTAAAAAATCCCCTATTTTTTACTTAATTAGATGTTTGCCACATAAATTTTCATTTCTCACTTTTATCTTCATCCTTCACCTTCCATTTGGCATACAAGGAAAGGGGGAACTATATAAGGAGATACAAAGGAAGAGAGGAAGAATATGTTTTGCATCAAAGAAATGACAGAAATGTTGTACGCTAATGAAAATTTTGTTGTAGTCATCAAAATGCTTACCACCAACTTCTGTTGAACGAATATTTGTGGCAAAATATTTTGACAAGCTCTAAAATGACTGTTGCTTCCGGGAGAAGGTGATGATACATTCATACCTGTGAAGTGGCTATGACCTAAGTGTCATTAAAGCAGTTACACCTCGGAGGTTGGTGTAAGTGAGATCAGAGGCTGACATTTTGGGTGGAATTCATCTAACTGAAGGTGGATGCATAGACTGGAGCTAGTACCAGTGGGCTGCCTTCACACCCACTGGTGAGCCACTCAGTGTGGTCAATGAAGTCTAGTTAAAGGAGTGGTCTGGTTTTGGATGAGATGAATGGCTCCTTAGACACCATTAGTTCTGTTTAGGTCTTCATTGATTCTAAGATAATTAGCTCCATGGTAGACACCCACATTTACTAAGGTGAATCCCACATTATCTCTGCCTTTAATAGCACACTTCAAAGTTACAGACTCTCCCAGGAGTTTGGGCAAAGGAAAATAGCCTTCATTTCTTCCTTTGAGGATTTGGGTTCTTTATATGAAGAGTTTTCAACTGTACTATAATTTAAGATGCAAACTCAGAACAAAGCTATTTGTCTTAAAAGTGAATAAGAAATAATTAACTAGGTTTGTAAAAAACAAGAGATAAGCCCAGATGTGCAGACAGGTTGAACAGGCTGGGCACACAGGTGTTTGCCTTGGCCATGGAACAACTGTCAACATTTCCGTAACAAGGAGCATGGGATATGCTGCTTCTTGTTTCCTTTTCCCAAATGCAGCATTGCAGAGCTAGCACGGCTGTGGGAAGACACTGTTTTCCGCTCAGCCCACATGCCACAATACCTAGCTGTTATAAGATAGGTATAGCCCATGCTTTCAGAAGAGTTTCACTGGATATACATCTACTTTGATCAGAGATAGTTGAAGGCTGCATGCTACCTTTTGGTTCCTCATGTCCATGCTTTCTTTCTGTGGTGTTTCCCGTTCAGTACCACACATTTAGTAGGCATTTCTCTTTCTGTTGTGAGTATTTTAAACAGTATTAAGGGGAGCAGACTGGGAAGACTCGTGGTGTTAACAAGAATACAGGGGAGCTTTTCATGGCAAGGATGAGCGCTTCATATTCATCCCATATCAGCACCCCAGGCATGAGTGCAGCTCTTCTTGGTGGTGGTGTCAAAGCAATCATTCCTATCCAGTCGTGGAGAAAGAAGTACATAGAAGTGCTGAAGAACCCTTAATGAATGTTTATAGGATAATGCAGTAGGTTTCCTTGCTGCTGTCTCTGAGTACATGTTTTATCCACATCTTCAGGCTCTGAGTTGCTAATGGTTTAATAATACTTAAGAAAAAAATCATTAATAAAGTGTCATATTATTAAACTGGCAATGAACAAGACTAAGAAGCAGATTTTAGCTTTTATTTAACTGAAGGTTTTTCATAACATTCATCATGAAATGAGTGTTTGCTCATTTGTATTTGATTTTAGTTAACTTTCCTGCATCTCTCCAATTTTTCGAGAAGTGCCAAGGGCTTTTTTTTCCCCTCTTGTATATTTAACTTACTTCAAAGCCAACACATGAGTTTCTGTAGGAAATTACCTCCCTTGCATAGCCTTTATCTAATCAGTTATGTGTGGTGTACAAGTGCAGTATATGCACATGGACACCCTTGAAAGATTACTAGGATAGCATGCCAAGGGAGCAACAGGGATGTAATGATGACTGGTGAGAAATACACTACGATTTACAGATGAGCTTGTGCACAACCAGATTAATTGGCCATTCTAAAGGAAGAGTGAATTCTCATTTTAAAGGGGAAAGGGAGAATTCATAGCACTATGACTAGCAGCAGTTTGCTACCTCGTGGTGACAACTAACAGTGGAAAGCACTGTTAGCTCACAAGGGTCCAACCCAATATATCTTGAAGGCCAGAGAACTGGGCAAAGGTGTCACATAATGTAGGAGAGCATAAGGCTCTTCAGCTGCACTTGTAGTTCTGCTGAAATGAGCTGAGGGTAAAATCTGTCATTGCCAACGGGCTTGTGTACATTACACCTTTACACCTTCACTGTAGTACATTTTCCAGCTGGCTTGTTGGCCCACAAATTCACCAAATTAAACTTCATCCCTGAATGCAAGCTGGGGGCTTGCTGAAGATTTGAGCCTAACATTATTCAGGAGAAATGTAAATGTAATTTTCAAAACTATCTTGCCACTTTGTGCGTGTTCATTAGATGAAAACACGTTACTTAAAATAAATGTTCCTAAACTGAGGTGGGAAAAAAACCCCAACCACAGGAAGTGTTAGACCATCTTTAAATTATCAACCATTTATAGTACAATATAAAATGGATTCATATGTGTAAATCCAAGTTATATGAAATGTCAATTAAATCAACCCTAATCTCCCAAATATATTTTTTTATTGGCTGATTGATGAGGACTGCTCTTAAGGTGATGAATAGTTTTCACTTTCACAAAAGACTGCTGATTTCTTTATATGTGTCCACTAAAAATACAGAAAATCCTTCAAAATGTCTGGCTCCATTTGCTTTCAGGGTCTAGATGAAGTGAGTGTAGGACACAATGTGGTCTAATATATTAATTGTGAAGATCAGATGTATAAACAATACTGTACATTTAAAAAAAGACTAAAAGTAAAACTACAGCAGATTTAAACTGTTTTATTTTCCGAAGGCAAAACTCTATATAACTTTTTTTTTTTCTTTCCTATAGCAAGTCCACATGCAACACCATCGACTCTTCATTTTCCAACATCACCCATTATTCAACAGCCTGGGCCATACTTCTCACACCCAGCAATCCGCTATCATCCTCAGGAGACTCTGAAAGAGTTTGTCCAACTTGTCTGCCCCGACGCTGGTCAGCAGGCTGGACAGGTGGGGTTCCTAAATGTAAGGAAGCCGTTTTTATTTCTTCAGAAGTGTTTGTCCTATGTAAAATTAACCATGGGATTATGGGATTATTTTAACAGCATGTTGCACACAGGAACACACCTTGAATAGTCATTGGAAGGAAAAAAAATGCTGCTACTGCAAAAATATTTTAAAAAACAACAAAAAACCTCCCCAAAAAACCACTCGACCACATTGTGGTGAAATTAACTTAAACTGTCAGAGAAGCTGGTGATACAGTGACCTTTTGGGTCCCTCCACAAATGACTTTGCTGCATGCGTTGTAAGCCTAGTGGAACTAGGGTTAACAAAATATGAAGGCAGAATAATTTTTATTAATTATTTTTGAAGTTCAGGGGAGAGTGGGGAGAAGGAGCAGGAAAAGGGAGGGTGAGAAACAGATGTTTCAGATCAGCTAAGTTCATTAAAAAAAAAAAATACTGCCTTATAGCACTTTAGATCAAGTTGACCAGTACTTGAACTCAAGATGTTAAAAGTACAGTTTATTATGGTTTGTTATTTCTGTAAGCAGTTATCTTTTCCCCTTATCTCTATGAAAAATTAAGCAGAGTTCCAAAGCTTCAAATAACCATTTTCATTTTTTTTAATCAAATAAAGTGAATCATCTTGCTATTATTGAAATATCATTCCGGTCAAATACAGAATTTATAAATTTTATGTAAATCAAATCTAAAATAATGCTCTGAATATTTCATGAAATGTAATGCATGTAACTTTTTCCAGCCAATGAAGTAATAACTGGCAAAATTACTGTTTCTCTCCTGACATACATACAATTGAAAGTGTTAATGAGAATTAGTTTAATTATTAGCATCTAATTTATTATACTTATTTAATAAGCTATATTGTTCTCAGTGCTTTCCTTTCCCTAGCAGAAAAACTGGCTCTACTTATTCCAGCCAGTACTGGCTTTGAATAATGTCTGCAATATGTTAGCAGATACATTTATGTCTAGACAACAAATCAATATAGTGCTTTTCTTTTTCCTTGAGTATTCATTTGCTTAATTTATCCCAAACCATTCAGCATTATGAACTGTTAGCACACTCACAATGAACATACAGCAGGGGTCTTCTTGGCAGGAAAGGGACCTAATTGTGAGACAAGATACTGTTTGAGAGATGTCACTAATATATTAGTTTATTAAAGGTACTGGATGTTGGAAAAATAAATATCCCTGAAGGATTGCTTCTGACTGCAAACACTAGTAACTGCAGTCTTTGAAGTCAGTGGGAGTGCTGTTAAGTTAAATGCAGATGAATTTGAGTCTTATTTATGCCCTGAACCATTTTTGCTCTAGCACAAGTGTGATTTGCACCTACGTGACTTTAAGGCCTTTTGTCAGTGCCAAAGCAGGTGAAATGAAAATAAGGTCCCAAGCCTTTGCCAGTATGAGTATTTTGTCCCCAGTAATTCAGGCTAATGGAAACCCTAACAGGAATTAAAATATTATTTTCTTTAGCAGTACTTAGAATATGGATCTGTGTTTAAAGCTGAGCTTTTATCATCAATGGAAAAGCCAATGCTCAGTGCCAGAAGAACTGCAGTGAGATCAATTTGCAGAGTGCTGTCGAAAGTGATCTCATCATTTTTGTCACTAAAACGGAACACCTGATTCACAGGCTGTCCTACTTTCTCTTTATAATGGTATTTGGCATCTATTTGTATGGTTTTCAAGTGTCCAGGCTGTATTACGTTTAAAATGTAAACTTAACAAGTTGGGGGGAGGGGTGGCATTTTTTAAGCCTGCTTCTTGTTTTTGTGATTCTTGAAAACACTTTTGCTTATGGTCAGGTTTTTCTGGTGATTAATTGGAAGACCACACTTGTACAGGTGGGCCCATTCTGCCTGTTACTGACCACACCCCAGACTAAATGGAGGGGTTTTTTTTCTTAATGTGTAAAATGAAGCAGTTCTAAGCTCAGTCGTTTCTCCATATGATCCTAATAGCAACTAAACTGTGAGCTACACTACTGTTAACTCAAAAGGGATGTGGGAGAGCAGTTACTTTAATATATACTCATTCATTTTCCTGTAATAAGATATCAGCATGACTTTTAAGACCACCAAAAATGCTTGTTTTTTCTCTTAATGAGCAGTATCTTTAAGAAATTTACACTCAAGTCCAAGGCACTGATATCCTAAGGGTATAACAGAGGCATGAAACTGGGGGATTTAAGGGGTCAAAAATACTGTTTCAGCTCTCACTAAGCATGAGTTACTGGCTGCAGGAAATGTAAAAAATAGTAGAATTTAATCCAGGGCAGTTCAGACCAATTGCTAATAGGACAAATGTTTGAAAGTGAGGATTTCCATAGTTTCACATGGCTCACAGCATTTGAGACAAAGTTCCTTCAAGTCAACGGAGAATTTGACACGCCACTTTCTTTGCCACCTCTCAAGTAATTGTAAATGTATTGCACAGAGCTTTCAACTAGATTGTTATTACCGGAGGTTCCTAATAGCTGATTTTTAGTATAATTTTTGTCTGTTTGCTTGTTTTTTGGCAGCCCAATGGTAGCAGCCAAGGCAAGGTGCACAATCCATTCCTTCCTACCCCAATGTTGCCACCACCACCTCCGCCACCAATGGCTAGGCCTGTGCCTCTGCCAGTGCCAGACACAAAACCTCCAACTACATCAACAGAAGGAGGGGCCACCTCTCCCACTTCTCCAAGTAAGTATAGACAGAGCGGGGACCAAGGGCTAACAGTAGCACACAACATGCTGCAATAACCGTCTGTCGGCTATTCAGAGATGAGGACTGGACTAGCTCTCAGGATGCAGGAGAGGTCTCTGCTCTGTATATGATGGACAACATTCTGAGCTGGTTTTATATTAACAAGAAAAGAGTTAGCTTAAAGTTACAGTTTTATTTCTGACTTTGTTGGCATTTCACATAGCCATGTATGAGAGAAAGCAAGGCCAGTAGCTAAGCTGTGACACAGACCTCAGACCTTTGGGATCTTGTTTACTGTCATGAGGAGGCAAGTTGGTATCTCAAGTCAGGCTTTAGAGGATAGATACTACATGGAAGTCAGACATACAGCCTCATCGAAAACATTGCTGCTTATACACACTGGACTAAACTAACAACTCTTTCGAGTTCACTTCATTTATAGTTCTTTTGGGAATAAGTCTTCCTAGATCAACCCAGATGGCTTTCCCTTATGACTTGGTTCCCGAGCCCTGCATTTTGGGCAAGAAGCTATGGTATTTCTTAGGCCCAGGGAGAAAGCTTTAATCCTCTCTCCACCACCCACACGGCTCCCATATGTATTTTGTGTAGCCACAAGTCAAATATACAAATTCCTGGATACACACTTGGGGATACCACTTTGGACTCACTCTTCTGGGAAGCAAATGTGATTCAGCTGGGTTTGATGCTTTAAAAAATCTGGATGTTCAGGGAGTTAATTGTGAAATGATTTAATGAAGCTATGCTCAAACTGACATTTAAAAACAAAAGGCAAGCTTTCAGTGCTTTAATGGCAACTGTAGGGGACTTGTTCCACAGTGAAGGGAGTCCAAATAACATCCACAAACAAAAATCAATCTAATCGAAAGAGCAAATCCCTTTGTGTGCTTTTCAAGCTTATTATTTAAATGCTATATGCAACCACTGCTTGATGTGCAAAGAGGTATTTGCTATTCAGACCATGTGAAGCCTACATTTTTAAAGCTTTATAGACTGTTCAGGAGCTTTGCACAGGTTCCAGGGGGCATTTTTAAAATCTGGTAGTTCTCGGAGTTTTGCATTGCCTTCTGCTACGCGATAGTGCACAACTGCAAACTCAGCAAGATGCTCTGGCTCGCTTAGAAATTAAAATGGGTTTTAGTATGAGACAGTCTGGTAAGATTGTGAACATGATCTTCTAGAATCAGGACTTCTAGAATTGATCAGCAGATTTTTGTTGAGCTAAGAAGTTGATTCATTCCCTCCCCTCCACTCCTCTTTCTGATCTTAGACCAATACTTGTGCTATCAGGAAGTTTTGATGCTCTCTGATGGGAGATACTGTCTTTTAAGTCCTATCAATAAGATTCAGCGGTGGAATCTAAAAGGTTAATGTTTAGTCATAATTATCACTGAATATAGTCAGCAATGCCTTACTACTTCCTTGTCTTCAGAACCGGGAAAAATGAAACTAGGTCAGTGTATATTTGTCATTACGGTTGTGACTCAGTTTACTGGCAGTGTGTGGTGTCTAAAAGAAAAAAATTCCCAACATCATTTTAGCAGTAATCTTAATACTTAATTTTTGTGATACTGTGATCATGTAAACAAGCTAAATGCGTGTCTGGCCTGATTCTCAGCTGGCATAAAAACCGGCATTTGTCCGCTGAAGTTCGCAGAACACCACCCATCGGTATCAGCTCGGGCTGGTCACTGTGGCTCAGTGTTCACCAGACAGCTGCCACGTTAATTAGGAATCGAGGTTTTCTCAAGAGCAGCCAGTTAATGGTATTTAAACAAAAGATTAGGAAAATAATTACTGTTTGTTAATTAGCTACGCTGATGTCTAAACATATAGTTCTGTATATATTCAGGCATGCATATTCCTTTTCGTAAGAGTTTTGAATAATAGGGACTTGAGTTGTAAACAAGCATATAATTTAATTTAGGGACAAATTTTACAGAAAAGTAGATTATAGGAAATATTTTCTAAGAAATAGTATTACATATATACCAAAGCCAGTGGAAGTGGCTGGCCACATAACGAGTAAAACAAACCGAAGTTCCTAGCCTCACTGTGAGAGTTTGCCGGAAGGGCCCACTGGACTCCATTTAGTGTGTCAATCAGTACCAACCCTCCATTTTCATCAGTGTTTATTTTTTTCTTAACTAAATATTGGCCTTCAAATAGCAAGTGCAGATTCACCAGAGTTTCATAAAAGCCACACAAAAAGGTGTTTTCCATGGTTACGAACTGCTCGAGTGCACCGGTTCTGGGAGTGTCGCTGGGTTATGGCTGACTGCCCTGCAGAGCTTTAGGATATTGGAAAGTCACTTATGCAACAAAGGCAGGAATGATGTTAGATTTTGGCCAGACTCTCTCCTTAGCTGTGTGGAGGAGAATGAAGGCCCCCCCAAGGAAATGTAGTGAAAGGGGTTGGCATTTGCTCCATTCTCCTTCCCTTTTTTGGTCTAGCAGAAAGCCCTCTGCAGAAACAAAACGCAGTTACGGCCCTACCAAAAATTGGAATATGGCCCTCCTGAGGGGTGCAGGAGCCAGGAGCAGCTGTTCAATACAGCACAGCCTCCTGGGAATGAGAGCTAAAAATCACAACAAGGTGGTTAATGATTCTCAGAGCAATAGTGAAACTCTCCAGCTGTGACATTAACCAAAACATGAACATTAGTGCTGTCCAAGGAAGGAAGAGCCCCTGGAGATGCACACCAGGGATTTGCTGCTACTGGGTGGCCAGGCATGCTCTGGGAGCTGAAAATTTCAGCTGCGAATCCTATCCCTTTGGAAAGACAGCATTTTCCTCAGTGAGATGACACAATGGAGATGGGATTCATGAAGTTTGGGAGGGTTCATTTTTCCTCTATAAAAAGCCTTTTCAATAGAACACATCCTTGATATCAGAAGCAGTCTCAAAATTATCTTATCTCAGATCTCTTCTTGATTTTATTTAGTTGGTAACCCGTAACAAACACAACACAATTATTTTCTTGAACTTGACAGTTTCTGGGTTTAATATCTCATTGCCCAAAGAAAACACCAGCTCCACTACATGCCAGTTGGACTTTATCACTATCATAACTGAATCTGAGTGTTAGAATCTGTAGCCCTCATTCCAATGCAGAGTCTAAGATACTGCCATCCTGTACACCATGATTTTTAAAGCGCTTTTTTATACTAAATGTTATTTTCTCAGGTTCACAACTCTACATGGGGAGAAACTTACCTATTTTCCCTTGTTGGGCAAGATCGTTATCGGTTAATGTCCCTTTGCACAAAGGAGTTTTCATGTTAAACAGCATTTGTGTCAGGATGAGAGGAATGATCTTGTGGCTATAGTACTGGATTAATAATCAGATTGGATTTCTCTCTCTTTCTCTGCTATGTATTGACTGAGCACCCTCTGGGCAAGCCATTTTAGCTTTCTCTTCGCTCCTTTCCCCATCCATAAAAAAGAGGGTGATGCCTGTATCATTTAATTTGTTAGAATTTGCCGTTCCCTCTCAGATGCTCAGCTGCAGAATGCATTGCGGTAGGAACTGCTGTATTGCACTGCGTTCCTCTGGTTAGTTCTCTCACTACAACTCCACAACAGCTAAACTGACTCCTAGTCCTTTGCAAAACAGTACAGCTCTTCATACCAAGCACACGTACCTGTCATCTTGGTCTGTAAAAGAGAAACCTAGTGGTACATGAGGTTATCACTCACACAAATCATCTTTACTAACCAAAAGTTTATTCTTTTAATCCAGAACTGTCTGATAAATGACACACTCCTATACTTAATATAAATTATTTCAGAAAAGTATATTTTAAATTAACATTCTCCTACTGCAAGCAACTTTAAAATACATGACATGCCCAAAACTGTTTGTTTGTCTTGTCTTTCATACAATTTATTGCCATTTTGGCTAAATATCAAAGTTGTCTCTGTGAGCAAATGTTCTTTCTCTGCCAGCTCCTGTTTTGCTTGTTCCTGAAGTGAAGCATCATAGCAAATTTGTGGCATCACATTCATTTCCTTGGCTATGGGCTATGATGTTGCAAACAATCCTTAGTGAATTCCAGTAGCAGAAAGACTAGGCTGGGCAGGAAGATGTTTCTATTCAAGCCTGACGGGCCAGCTATCAGCTAGTGTAAACTAGTGTAGATCTATGCAATTCTCATGGAGCAAAGCTGATAAAGATCAGGAGAAGATCTTCCTAAGAGACCTGGCTTCTGTTCCTTTCCATGGTTTGGCTTTTCCCTTTCCTAAAAAGGAGTTTGAAGACCCCACCATAGGCTTAGCCTATGTATACCATAATATAATATGACCCAGCTTTAACCAGTGAGAGCAGTTTGCCCCATCCTGATCTCAGAACAGAGTATAGGGATCAGAAGTGGTAAGACTTCCAGAAATCCTACCTCCATGTCAAACAAGGGTATTTATATGAAGACGGTAAGATATGGCTAGAAACCATGCTGGTGATGGTCTAAGCAACACTCGGTACTGCTCCCTTTTCTGAACCAAATTTCACCGTAACAGGAGTCACTGCTAATGTGTATTCCATGTCAACTTAATATTCTCAGCCAAAATGGCCCCTTACAATTGGCAAACATCTCGTGACATTTTACAGTGAAGTGGGACTAGCATCTTGGGAGAGTCCAGTGTAAAGCCTGCTCTGCATATATGTAGTTTTGGTACTCTTCACTTCTTGGCTCTAGCAATGTAGTTATATGACCTTAAGGAAATACCAAGCTGACATCCGAGTATTTTCAGAAAGCAAGTTAAGCATAGTTTGGAGCATTACAGAAGAAAGGTATACATAGTAATTCACCCAGCAAGGTTTGAGGGGACTTTTGTGCATATTATACGGTTTTCAAATGCTTTAGAATTTTTGTTTGAACAGAGAAGCCATTTAAGACAGCGTTCTGCTGGTTTCCCTTTGATTTTCTACCAAATATCACAGCAAAAGTATCTGCCAACAGGGAACTGTAAGCAAGATCTTTAGTTCCTTCCCTTCTGAGTGGAACTTACCTGCCGCAAGGGATTAAATGGCCTCTCCACTCATTCTGCTTCCTTAAAAGTAGACCAGAAGAACCAAACAACAGATGTTTGATTTTTGAGCTTTGAGTTAATTTTCCCCACTGCAGAAGGAATTTTTGGTCTTGCACAACCTAGGGTTCAGTAGTTAGTTAAAGAAAAAACTTCACCATAAAACAGTACAGAAGAATCTTAATACATGGCACTAGCAACAGAAATATATCCTTTGCAAATTTGTGGCTTCTTTGAATTATTAAGCAAATGAAGACAGTAAAAAGGCAAGGAGAACATCTCACCAAATCTACTCAGTTCATTTCTTCCTTGATTTGCAGATATGAATAACAACCAGTGTACCTGTTCGTACTATAATATGCAAGCTGCACTGCAATTTGCAAAATCATCTCAGAAAGATGAATTAATGCACTTAAAAAATCCTTTAAAACTTTGTGAAGGAAAGGTGTTCCTTGCATGACTTTCGCAAGTACTAGCAAGGTGTTAACTTTTTGGAGAGAAAAGCTCACCTCACTGGAAACAACAGGGAAAAATTCATTCAGAAGTCAGG